TGGTTTTATCAAAAATATGATGAAGGAAAATACAGTCCGATGCCAATGCCGCTCCCGTGACGCCCCTCGCCACTTGGGAGGTTTCGCCAGGAGGGACATTTGTTGCTGAGGCGCAAACGTCCCCGCCCGACTAAACGTTCCTATTGTGACCACCTCTTTCAAGCAGCTACCGTCACCTTTTGGTCATCCCGACTAGAGTTCTCCCATTGTTCCTCTATTGTGCGGCCACCAATTAAGCGCAGGAACCTTAGTTTGGTTATTGAAAATATGATGAGGGAAAATTAATACAGTCCGAGATAGAAGGGTGTGACGGCCGATTGTGGACCAGTAATGCCGCTCCCGTGACGCTAGCCTGCGAAAACAGCCCCTATCTCTTCTTTTCTCGCCGCTGGGGACGTTTCGCCAAGAGAGACGTATGTCGCTGAGGCGCAAACGTCCCCGCCTGGCGAAACGTCCCAACAAGCTGTGAATTAAGTGAGCCTGCTCGCAGGCTCCGTGGGCGTGTTTGTTTGGTCTTCACGCTCAGCTGGGAATCACGGTTGTTGACCGGCGGTAATTCAGACGCCAAACTTCACACGAGCCGAACTTTTATAATGTATTTCACCGAAATGCGCATAATTTTTCACTTTTGGATTTAAAATTTAAAGGGCTGGAATATAGCCTCCCTAGAAGGCATTTTTAGTGGAGCTCGTATTTCGTCCCTCCTGTTTGTGGGGAGGGACGAAGTACGAGCTCCCCTAAAAACGCCAGCGAGGGAGGCTATCTGGAATAAAGATTGGCGTCTGAAGCAATTCATCCACCTAAATTAATTTGTTTCGGCCTAAATTATGGCTCATGTGCAGTTCGGCGCCTTCCCTTTCTCCCCCCCCCCCTCAGAATCTCAACCGGGCCTAGAAGCACTGGCTTGAGGAGGTTTCCTCAAAGGTTACATCTCATAGGGCCACATTTCGAATTCTACTACGAAAAGCATCCCCTGCTTGGGAACAATTATCCAAAGGAGTTTTCTGATCCTATTTCCCTTTAACCCCGGACAAAACTGCTTTAAATTCATCACAATTGAAACTACGGTAAGTCTCGTAGAAACATTGCGATGCGTGAACAATCTGAACAAGAGTGAAGTTTCTTATTTCTATGTACGTCAAGAAAATTAGGTTATGAAATCTAAAGTTAATCGAATTAATTAATTACGTTCTCGCCAAGAATGGAATCTTTCGTGCATACTGAAGCCAAACTCTTTTACATGTACAAGCAATTCTAAACAACCTCACTTTGCCAAAGTCCGTTACCGTTTTTTCATCAGTCGCACGGGAAATAAGACTCAGATGAAATCAAATATCTTGTGCTGAACCCGCCTTGTTGTATAAGGATCTATGAGAAATACACAGGATATTGAATAACGGTGAGCATTTTCTCACGGACTAGGACTTAAGATTAGATCATATCGTTGTGTCATCGAACAGTTCCTTTATGGTTTTGACGTCACAACACGAGTGACGTCAGAAGTTGTGAAATCAAACGGCACCGTGATAAGGTTGCTTTGTAACGGTATCAGGACTCTGTTTGCTGTATCCCTTCTTTTTTGAAAAAAAAAAAAACAAACATTTCCATCATTCAAGACACGAAGTGCTTTAACTTGAATTTAATTTTTGCTTTTTCACTTTTTTTATCTCACAGAGTTCCACACACACTCAAAAATATTTTGATACGGTCGATACGCGGTTAAGAAATTAAAAACCATGTCAAAGCACCATTAAAAGCTAAATCAACATCAGAAACCATTACGGGAGTCATTTTTTTCCGTAAACAATTTGAAGATGGATTTCTCACAAACCTAAATATGTGGTTCTGTTGATTTAACCAAAGAATAATAATATACTGAATAGTTTAAAAACGCATTGCCTCGGCTTTTTGTATCATCCCTGGTTACGATTGTGACCTTTAATACGCCTAGTTCAACATATCTGGGAGGTAACTTCCCTGGTTTCGCAATTCTTGACCAATATTATGTCTGTTAGTTCGAGAAATTTATTTTAAAATACCCCGCATTTCTACAATAACTTCACACACATCCGGCAACATCCGGCATAACTGATTCCCCTCAGGGGTACTGACGGGAAGTAAAGACTTGGAGCATTCTGGGAAATAGGTTTATAGTTGAGGAGCCCGAGAGAAATATCAGATTTTCCTGGTAAAGTTGGATGTGAGAACGGTCGAAGAAGACCTATTTTAATCCTCCACAACTCCCTATCGTCGTTTCTCTTTCCTCCTCAGCCTTTGTTGATATAAGTTTATACGGCAGGGTGTGACAACTGAGATTTTCGTCAGAGTCTACGAGCTGATGACCTTTTAGGTCAACTGGACTGACTGGAGAGTTCGCCAATTTAAAAGATCGTCGTCGAGCTAAGACCCAGCACCTAATCGTGCTACTTGTGTGTTTTTGACGAAGAAACTGCTTTCTTCTTCAGCCAAGTTGCTCTTGAAGAGTCCGTTCTCAAGGTGAGCTTTATTCGTGGTGTTTACTTGAAATCAATCTGTTCAATCCAATGAACGGCATAAAATTTGAATTCGAAGATAGACGACATGACGATCAAATGATTTCGGTATAAAGTTGACTTTAATTTCGTCGATACTTTTGAGCGGGATTTCAGGATATGACTAGACTATCCATAGAGAGAAACAAACAGTGAAGGAATGGAAAGCGAGTGAAACCGCTCTCGTTCTTCGCTTTGCAAATAATATTAGAATTTTTAAATAGACTTTCACATGCTTTAGCTTATCTTACGTAAGCTAAAAAATCCAAAGTTTCTTGTCCTTTCTTCATTCGATTGCTCAAGAAAGGACAAGGTTGCATGTTTGAATGAAATAACCGGTGCATTTTGCTCAGTGATTTACCTACGTATACCATTACTATCATCTATAGTTCCAATATAAACATTGTGTGCGTGCAAACTTCTGTAGCACTTTGCTAATGGTTAACGATATTGATTCGACATCAACCCTTTTATATATTTGGATTTCTATGCTACATGTGCACGTAATGAACGGGTTCCGTTTCAGTTATGGTTAAATTTAGGCATGTACACGTTGTAGCTGTCGTGTAAGATAGTTGGGGCGAGGACATCAGTTAAATTTTATGGTTGATCGCTAACAAGGAAAAAACGGGAGACCGTTGTAAAGGTATGCTGGCTAGTCGCCGTAGATCGAGAGAAGATTGAATAGTAATCCTATAGCATTTAATAATTTTGGAGCAAAATCTCTCATTATCCCATTGCGATCTCAGGCAAATTCTGCGATTGTTATTTTAGCGCATTTGATACTTCCTTGAAAACCTTGTCAGGAATAATTAATTCTCGACCGACTAAATTAGTGGTGTTTTTCTTTCTAATCATCTTTCTGAAAATAAAATTTTAATGTTGATTTTTTGTATTTGTGCCAATTTTATTTTGAAGACAAAGTCAAGGCTTATTGTATTATATTTATATGTCTTTAGTAGTTCTGCAGAGTTTTTGTCATAATGTCAAATTGATACTTATCAACTGCCATTTTCAAAGCCCAGAGAAACATATTAATGATAAGGTGAAATAGAGTCAAAACTACAGCTCAAATTATCATAGGAAAACCAGTGGAGAAATGTTATGTAGTCAACTTTTTAGTCTGTGGATGAAATCCTATGGTGTGACCATTCGAATGAAAGCTTTCACATAGGGTACATGTACCAACTTTTACAGTTTTTACAAACATGCTTTATTGAAACGTCAATAGTAGGTAGCCAAGGACTGATGTGGACCTTGACAGTGCTGTGTAAACAGGTTCCAGCTTTTAGATCTGTATTCGCCATTTTTCAGCACAAGAGAGGACTTTACTCACGTTATCCATGATACAGTATCTATTTTATATTGTAACACACAACAACTTCCTCAAGGTGTCATCACTCAAAGGCCCTTCTCAACTGATCCTCTAGGGAGTTATTCAAACCCTTAGGACTTGAAGAAGGTGATGCACATTCACAGACGTTTTTTTTTTGTTATTGGGCTCTGAATCCTTGAGAGTGAGAGACTTTTGAGGTCAGACATACTCAGTATTTAATTACGTCAAGTCAGCCTTGAAGTCTTTGTGAAAAAAGAAAGACTCAATGCTCTGTATAGGAATGAGGTGTACCTCACCGTCTGTCTTAAAGAGGTCACTGGAATCATTATTATTATTTTCAAGATTCTTTACAGTTGAATGTAGGATTGTAAATGATCACTTTATTATAGCCTATTGAATAGTTCCAGAAAATATGCCTCCCCCCCTCCCCGCTGCCCCCCTCTGAGGGAATATGATTTTCTAGAACTACACATTATTGGTTTTAAGCTGGTGTCATTCATTATTAGAGTAATCATGGCTGTATTTTCACAATACAATACTGCTGGCAAAATTTTGTGCCCTTTGCCCTAAAACAAACAGGTAAAACACAGATTATTGAATATAGCATGAATTTCGTTGTAACTGAGTTAATTTGGTAACAGATTCTTTTTCTAAGTGAA